CCCTCAATCCACTCTATCCCCGCACCACCGCCGCCGGCGCGCGGCGATCTAGGCACCGTCGACGCGCGTGATCTGGCGGACCCCGACAGCCAGTTCGAATCGATCGACGGCGTCAGCATCCACTTCAAGGACCACCTGTACCAGCCCGGCCGGCCGCCTGTGACGTCACCGGCGGCCGCAGTGACGTCATCGGCGGCGGCGCCGGGGGCGGGCGCGGACGCGGATGCGCGCGGCGGGGAGCCGCTGGCCGTGCTGTGCCTGCACGGATTCAATGGGTCGACATTCAGTTTCCGCTTCACACAGCCGGGGGTTGGGGGGCTGCTGGCAGACAGCGGGTGAGTCATAGGGTTTTAGGGGTGGGGGGGCAGGCGAGGCGAGGCGGGGGTCGGGTTGGGCCGATAGGGGCACCCGCATGCGCACGTCTGGACTCAGCCAGAGGCAGCCGCACCGCGGAAGGGCCGGGCGGGGCCAGAAGCGGCCGTCCCATGGCAGCGGCTGGGCGCGCGCGGCCTCACGCATGATCCGCAGCGTGCTAGTTCAACCCCGCTAGCCGCTTTCTTCCGCATCAGGTTGTCTACCCCACTAACTCACCCCGCACGTCCGCACTCTACTAACTCATGACTCATCATCACTATCGTATGCATATGCACCGGGGCGACACAGGGTCCTCTGCCGAATCATCTCGATGGACCGCCCGCCCTTCGGCCTGTCGGAGCGCCCACCCATCGCCCCCGCCGCCGCCGCAGCCGCCGCCGCAGCCGCCGCCGCCGTCGCCGCGACGACCTCCCCGCCGCCGCCCAACCCCTACGCCAACCCGGCCGCCGGCGCGCGCTTTGCTGCCGGCCTGCTGCGGCGGCTGGGCGTGCCGCGGGCGGTGGTGGTTGGCCACTCTGCGGGGGCCGGGGTCGCGGTCGAGCTCGCGCTCAGGTGGGATTTTCATTCGGCTGCCCGTTCAGCTTCCGCTGCTCTTTCCTGCCCACTCTGCGGTCCAACCACGTACACAGTGGTTTTGATACTGGAAACTCCAGTCTCTTATTAAAAAAAGAGACTAGGAATTGTTATATCGATGGGGCGGGTTCGATCCTACCCTGTTAATTGTACTGTAAACAAGACTAACCCTCTGCTTCTTCCCACTTTTGCAAGAGCTAGGCCCCTTGGGCCTCCGGGTCTAACAGGCCTCAGCCGGGCCACTTCGCGCAACGCCTGTCGCATTCACGCCTCAAGCTCGGCTCCTTTTTCCCACATCCATGGACGAGCTTCACCTCTGGACAATCGACACGATCTCCCCCCCCCCGCACACACACACACACACACACTCACACACACTCACACACACACACACACACACACACACACTGACACACACACACACATGCGCACACACGCACACACACACACACACGCACACACATGCACACCCGACACACACACATACACATATGCACATGCACATGCAAACACACGTACACACACATGCACACACACAATGGCACACACACATGCGCGCGCGCATCCCCAACAGGCACCCCGAGCTCGTCTCAGGGCTGGTGCTGGTCGCGCCCGCCCTGCCGACCGTGGACCGCGCCTCCCCGGCCTCCGTCCCCGGCGCCGGCGGCCTGCGCCAGCTGCTGCGGCTCGCGGCGACGCGGGCGCTGCTGGCGGCGGACGGGCCTGGGCTCCATTACGTGCGGCGCCAGGTGGAGCGGCGGCGGCGGGAGCTGCAGCAGGTGCACGCTGGCCGGGCGCCCGCGCGGGCGCGTGTGCTCTGATGTGTATGAATAGTTCGCGCCTGTCACTCGTCTCTCTGTCATCCGTCTCACACACAGAAACATGAATATACCACGCACAATCTCTCTCTCTCTCGCACACACACACACACACACACACACACACACACATTGAACTGCGCTCTCAATTGCCAGTAATGACCGCATCCCTCACGCCACCCGCATGCACCCCACTGCGCCCACAAACACACAACGTAACATCCGCGCACCCAACTTTGCCCACCAACCTCGCCCCCCTCGCAACCCACAACCAAAAACCGACAACCAATAACCCACGATCAACGACCAGGGCGACATATCTGACATGTACAGCGAGGGCAGCGGCGTCGACCTGGCGGCGGCGGCGCGCGGCTACCTGCTGCCCCTGCAGGCCCACGACTGGGACAGGGGGCTGCTGGAGATGTACAGGTGGGGGCGGGATGCAGTTGTGCTCCGCTCGCTCAATCAATGCATGGTATGCCCTGTGAGAAATCAGGTGACACGAGCAGGCAATCAATTATCGTCTGCAGGGGGGGCATCCTTTGGGGGGCAAGGTCAGCAGGGCGGCGATGCAGGAGCCGCCTGCAGGGATGGGCATGCGAAATTGGGCGACCGAGCGGGCGGATTGCAACGAGGGCAGACGCCAGGCCCACGACCGAGGCGCCCGGCCGCAGGCATACCACGCTCACCGGCCGCGGGTGCGGCCGCCCCACCCCCGCGCTTCCCCTGCCCCGCCACCGGGCCGCAGGGCGCTAGCAGAGGGCGGCGGACTGCTTGGCGGCCGCGCGGTTGCCGACTACGCGCGGCTGGGG